TAAGTTTCCTCCAGGAATTGATGAAGCACAACTTGCTTAATCCTCAACTTCCCTTGGAAACTAGACAAGATGTTCTCTGCTTTTTTATCATAAATGTTTTGGCAAAATCTTCACCATTGTTATTCTGCATATTTTATATACCTAATGTCTGGATTATTATTAACATGCCTGACAGTTGTTATCTGATATATAGTGCATATCTTGTTCAGTGATTCACAAGAAACTCGTACATCAAGGTTACTCATCAGAAATAATATTAAAAATGGTGAATGTTAATTTTCCATTATTTTCTCTGCCATCATAAACATAAAAGAAAACATAATACTTGATGATGGCTGAAAATATTATGGAGGAAATAAGTATTCAAACTGTGTGTGCAGTAGGTAGGTGTAGACAAGCACTTGCAATATTAAGGATATTGCTGTTTTAGATGGTATTGCCTGTGCTAAGCATTTTCCACTGATGCAATTGAAAATAACTGTGATGGATCATTCTGATTCTCTCTCAAAGTTGTGGGAGGCGGGACATCTTGTCTAGTGGTTGAAGCATTCGCTTGTCAAGCGATAAGCCAGGTTTGATTCCCCACAGGTTTCACTCACTCACTCACTCACTCACTCACTCACTCACTCACTCACTCACTCACTCACTCAACTCTAGTGGTTGAAGCATTCGCTTGTCAAGCGATAAGCCAGGTTTGATTCCCCACAGGTTTCACTCACTCACTCACTCACTCACTCACTCACTCACTCACTCACTCACTCACTCAACTCTAGTGGTTGAAGCATTCGCTTGTCAAGCGATAAGCCAGGTTTGATTCCCCACAGGTTTCACTCACTCACTCACTCACTCACTCACTCACTCCAGTGTATTCGTATTCCTTCTCACTGCCCAAGCAGAGTCCGGTAAAACTTGATCCCTTCCATTAAGAGATATAGTTTGTTGTGCTGTGACACAGCTGCCTGTCTATGTGGGGCTGTCAATGTATGACTGGCTTCCTGTTTGTAACATGCCTATTGTATTTCTGTTTGTAATTGACTGAAGCACTAGTGGTTGAAGCATTCGCTTGTCAAGCGATAAGCCAGGTTTGATTCCCCACAGGTTTCACTCACTCACTCACTCACTCACTCACTCACTCACTCACTCACTCACTCACTCACTCACTCACTCACTCACTCACTCACTCACTCACTCACTCACTCACTCCAGTGTATTCGTATTCCTTCTCACTGCCCAAGCAGAGTCCGGTAAAACTTGATCCCTTCCATTAAGATATATAGTTTGTTGTGCTGTGACACAGCTGCCTGTCTATGTGGGGCTGTCAATGTATGACTGGCTTCCTGTTTGTAACATGCCTATTGTATTTCTGTTTGTAATTGACTGAAGCACGTGACAAACTCTCCTGTCATTATCACTATCACCTGTATCTCTGTAAACTAGCCTATGTGTTAAAGCATATAGTTAAAGTTATCTAAAGAAATTTCATATGGTGATGAAAATCAAGAAAATTGTCTCTCTGCTTATGTTTAGATGAATTATTTATTTTTCAACATGGATTGACCCAATGTTGAATCAGGTCATGAAACAGGATGTAGGGTTATGTTGCCTGTTTTTAAATGCACAGACCCGTGAAGATCCAGGGTAGAATAGGTCTTCAGCAACCCATGCTTGCCGTAAAAGGCGACTATGCTTGTCGTAAAAGGCGACTAACGGGATCGGGTGGTCAGACTCGCTGACTTGGTTGATGCATGTCATCGTATCCCAAATGCGTGGATCGATGCTCATAATGTTAATCACAGGATTGGCTGGTCCAGACTCGATTATTTACAGACCGTCGTCTGAATTATTGCTGAGTGCAGTGTTAAACAACAAACAAACAAACAGACTTCCAGGCACTCTCTGATTGATTCACCGACTGTGACCCATTCAAGTGAACTAGCTTACATCAACTGCTGTGTAGAAATCTTGCCTGCAGGGATACATCAAAATATGATAGAAGAAATTTGTGGACAATCAGATAAGGCACAGTTTTCGGGCTCAGCGGTTTATGTGGTTTTGATAAGAATAACCATTTTGTTGTGATTCATTGATTTGTGGATTATCAGATCCATTTCTTCTCGCTGCTGATTGCATCACCCTCCATGGAGCCTAATGTTGGTCTGCACCACGTCAACATCAGTCTGGGACAGAGTTAGTTCCAGCTGTTTTAATAAGGCTCCATTCCCCAAGGTCTATAGTGCATTTTGAACCTTGATGGTCCTATCATTTTGGCTTGATGTGGAGGAAAGCTTAAAGTGATGCAGGTCATGGATATTTGCCTCTTTGTTGAAACCGGTGGGAATGGTCAAACCTGAGATTTGAATCCATTGTCAACAGATCCTGGCACAGGATTGTATAGTCTTCTGTTTCAGACTGTTATGGGATTGAGTTTGACATTCTCGCCAGGGTTTTGTGGACATGGTAACTTGTGCATTATTCTGAGACTTGAGACTAGTGGAAGTTGTTTCTCCCAAGATCTAGAAGGTACATAGACCCCTACTCTGTGACTCTCTTCATATAAATCGGGGCGATCGGGTAGCCTAGTGGTTTAAGCGTTCGCTCGTCACAGCGAAGACCCGGGTTTGATTCCCGACATGGGTACAATGTGTGAAGACCATTTCTGGTGTCCCCGCCATGATATTGCTTGAATATTGCTAAAAGCAGCGTAAAACCATACTCACTCACACTTTCATATAAATCAGGTTGTCTATACTCCTGGAGTTTGTCCATTGTAGTAGTAAAAGTAGCAGCTTTTATGTAACTGTGAATGTATTTCGAGGCAAGGTTTTAAATATTTGCAGCACAGCATAATACCTTCATCTGCAACATTTTTGTTTCACATTATACTCTGCAATTGGCCAGCATTATGATGGCGATATGTAAATCATCACTGCTGGACCTGATGAACCAGTGATTGATAATATGAGCAACAAATGATGTAATCAGGGAGCATAAGCACACAATCAACAATTCAAGAGTGTGGCAACCAAATCCATTTATTTCACTCGTCACGCTGCTGGTCTTGGTTCATTCCCCACATGGACACAATGTGTCCAGCCCATTCTGGTGTCCTACGATATTGCAGGGGCGGTCGGGTAGCCTAGTGGTTAAAGCGTTCGCTCGTCACGCCGAAGACCCGGGTTTGGTTCCCGACATGGGTACAATGTGTGAAGCCCATTTCTGGTGTCCCCCGCCGTGATATTGCTGGAATATTACTAAAAGCGGCGTAAAACCATACTCACTCACTCACTCTATGATATTGCTGGAATATTGCTTAAAAGACATAAAAGCATAGCCACTCATTCAGTGACACAATATACTGACTCCTAGCCTAGTCCTTGTTTTAGCCCCATAATGCCAATCGCCAGACAGGGTAACAACAAGTACCATCTTTTAACATCTTTTGGTATGACGTGGCCGGGAATCTAACCCCCGACCTTCCGCTCTCCGGGCGGACACTCTACCACTTGACCACGGAGATAGTCGTATTCTTGATGGCCTGCCAGGGTTGTAAGACATCTGTGCAGAGAAGTGAAGTAATACCTCCAGATAACTCGGCTAATAGGAGCATGCATTAGCCAAGTCACACCAGATCACCATCAGCACTGTTTACAGATGCGCCACTGTTTGTAAACAAACCTGCCTGTACTGGATTTCTATAAGTGATATGTATTGTCAACAATTGTCAGGTATTCAAATGCCTGTAATTCACAGGATTGTTTCACCAGTTGTTGTGAAGATGTCGAAAGAACAATTTTATAAGTTGTGATGTTAATGCCGTGTTTGAGTCTTCAGTCATCAGGGTCAATTATGGATCTTATTTTATAATTCAAAAACTTCTGCCATATTAATTGGCTAAGAAGAGGTCATGTCATTTGACAGAAACACATATCATGTCTGATTTGTGTTGGTACTGATTTTACTCAAAATAGAATGGGATTTACCCAGAAGTGCCATTCCCTAAACCTTAGCCAGTCAGGCGGCTCCTTTTTACTGGAACCTCCGAACATTATTGTAGCCATCATACTTTGATACATTGAAACTGCTTTTGTCTCTATTTGTATGTAATAAAACAGTTATGGATTTTATGTGACGTCAATACCTTTTTTATGAACAAAAAAAAGAAGCAATATTTGTTGTGCGAGGTCGATGTTGCTTTTTCAGGTCCATAAAAACAGGTATTGACATCTTATAAAGTCTCTAATTGTATAAAAGCCAAAACCCTTTTTTCTTTTCAATCTGCGTGGATGCATTGAAATATGAAATGTTGTTCATTGAATGCCTTGAGACTGAGTTTTTATATCAAATGACATTAAACATTTTATGAGGTTAATGTTTTGATAAAGTTTGTCTTTATCAAATTAGCTAAGAGAATTTTCGTGTCAAATTACATTCTGGAGAGTTTTCTTTGACAATTAGTTGATTGATCATGGATCGAGGGCATGGGTGGCCCAGTTGTGTAATGTACAGCACTTCACTGTGCAAAGTTGTGCCCCTTGGATGTACCAGAAACCTATGATCATGGGTTCGCATCACTTTAGGTTTTACCTACTCACTCACTCACTCCTCCATTGCACATCTTGGTAGAGAATAGGTCTTCAGCAGCCCATGCTTGTCGTAAGAGGCGGCTTACAGGATCTGGTGGTCAGGCTCGCTGACTTGGTTAATAATATCACCGTATCCCAATTATGTCAATTGATGCTCATGATGTCAATCACTGGATTGTCTGGTCCAGACTTGATTATTTACAGAGCATTGTGATATATAGCTGGAATAGTGCTGAGTCCTGGGTTAAACAACATACAAACAAAACTAAACATGGATCCGTTCAATGAGTGCTGTGCCGCAATGGTTTAACATTAATCTAAGATGGTTGTAGCACTAAGAACCTTTTATACTCATAAACTTACATCTCCTGTAACCATACCTTGTCTCTAGACCTAAAGTTCTCTTTTTATTTCCAGATCTCCAATGTCCTCAACATGCAGTGGTTTTGCAGTTTGTGACACTGATAGCTTCCTCATCAATCTTGTCAAGATTCACTAAGCTTCGTCAGTGACAAAGACTATAATTACGCTGTATGACATTTGGAAAGGTGCTGTGACCCGTCCAACTGCCCGATGCAGACCGTTATCATGGACACAAGCTATGGGCCAATGAATGGACCGGCAGGGGGTATGACCATGCCTGAACCCGACCTGCTTGAAAATGGTAAACACGAAGGAAGACGGTCTTCCCAGGATTCCTTTCTTGAATATGCATCCCGACACGTGCGTCCGGTCAACGGCCCCATGCCAGCCAGCCGCCGGATGGACAGGCACCACTCAAAGCGAATGCGCCGAAGACTTGTGTACAAAAACGGTGAAGTCAATATCACACAAACAAATATTCGTAAACGGAGGAGGAGGTACTTGGCCGATATATTCACAACTCTTGTAGATATAAAATGGCGGTATAACCTGATGCTGTTTGCAATGGCCTTTATTCTGAGTTGGCTAATCTTTGCACTCATCTGGTGGCTTGTGTGCTTCTCCCATGGAGATTTAGACCACGTTGGCGACGAGAACTGGACACCGTGTGTCAAAGAAATATATTCATTCACATCAGCTTTACTATTTTCTATAGAAACACAACACACTATAGGCTATGGTTCACGTCACACAACAGAACAGTGTCCTGAAGCTATTGTCCTCATGATGTTTCAGTCCTGTTTCGGTGTTATCTGCCAAGCTTTGATGACTGGTATCGTGTTTGCCAAACTCTCAAGACCAAAGAAACGCGCAGAGACCTTGATGTTCAGCAAGAATGCATGTTTATGTAAACAGGATGGGGAGCTGTGCCTAATATTCCGGGTCGGTGATATGAGGAAGTCTCAGATTGTTGAAGCACATATCAGATCAGTATTAATTAAAAAGAAAATAACAAAGGAAGGAGAAGTCCTTCCACTCTATCAGTTTGATGTCAATTTAGGATTTGAGGAGGGTAGGGACCGATTGTTCTTAGTGTGGCCAGTGATTATCGTTCACAAAATTGATGAGACCAGTCCATTCTGGGAGATGTCTCCAGATGACCTACACAGAGAACAGTTTGAGTTGATAGTGATCTTGGAAGGTATCGTGGAATCAACAGGGATGACTACCCAGGCAAGGAGTTCCTACCTCCCTGGGGAGATCCTGTGGGGACATCGATTTGAGAGACTTGTTACGTTCCAGAAAGAGAATGGCCAGTATCAGATTGACTTCTCACGATTTCACAACACCATTCCAGTGGATACCCCACAATGCAGTGCAAAGGAACTAGCAGAAATGACAGCTGCAGGCAATGTGCCAGATAGTACGTATATTGATGAAGACGAGAATACGTCGATTGTTTCTAAGAGTGAGAGGTACCCAAGTCCCTATGTGGTAAAACGACATGGGGTAGCACAAACAGATTTCTATGATGATGATGGAGATTCTTCACTGAGGAGCAAGAGGAGTACCAGTACTGACCTGGGGTCAAGGGAGGAGTCGGAAACACTTCTATGACATTGAAGGTGGGTAGTCTTTAACCAAACCATGTGTGTATGACATTGATGGATGGGGATCTTTGATCAAATCTTGTGTCTTTGACATTGAGGCTGGGTAGTCTTTTACCAAACCTTGTATGTATGACATTGATGGACGGGTAGTCTTTTACCAAACCTTGTGTGTATGACATTGAAGGTAGGTAGTCTTTGACCAAATTTTGTATATATGACATTGAGGCTGGGTAATCTTTGACCAAATCTTGTGTGAATGACATTGAACGTGGGTAGTCTTTGACCAAATCTTGTGTGTATGACGTTTAAGGCAGGTAGTCTTTGACCAAATCTTGTGTGTATGACATTGGAAAGCAACCCAGGTTTTCTTCACCAAACCTCACCTCAGCATTATGTTGGAAATATGAAACTGTTTTTGAATTGTGTTAGTTTATCCGTAATAATGCTATGGACCAAAATATTGGTCTAAAAAAACATGAGAGAATATTTCTTTGGGCATAATAGTAGGTCTCAGTGATGTGTGAAGGTGAAGTTTGTGGGGCAGATAAGTTTGTCGCTAAACATGTAAAGGTTAGTTATAACATCACATGAATGTTCAATGACGTTGGAAGGTCAGATGTATCTTTGAGACCAACTTTAAAAGAGTTCAAAGACAAAAAGCATATTGTGACTACATTTTCACTTATCTAAATCAGTACCTAGACAAAAAGCCTGTGTGGGTTCAGTAGGCAGTGTAGTCTGGTGATTCTACTGAAGAAGACAGAATGAACTTATTAATTTCAAATTCTTTTTTATCCCCCGCCCAACGAAGTTGGCGGGGGATATAGAAACGGGCTCCGTCCGTACGTCTGTCCGTCCGTCCGTCCGTCACGTTTCGTTTCCGGAGCATAACTCATAAACCGTGAAATATTTTTTCCTCAAACTTTGCAGGTCTGTCAGTTACATGCTGAACTGGTGCCTTTTGCTATTGAGAAATTTTAGAAATTTTTATTTTTTACATTTCCATGGCAACAAGATGGACTTAGGTTCCAAACTCTTCTTTTTTTTACAATTTCCATGACAAGTTCCACCTCGGTTAAAAAAGGTTAGGGTTTGTTTAGATTTAATTATGTCATAAATTCTGCAACAGGGGCGCGGGGATGTAGCCACATTAGTGGCAAACTCTTGTTTCTCTTCAATTCTGCATTTAGGTACAGAGAAAGGTAGCTCTTTATGACTGCAGTGTGTTATTACAATGCTGATGGGAGTTTAGTTGATGAGGCCACAGTAGGCCGATGGTAGCCTACCAAGATGTCATATTGAAAAGAACAAAAGAATTGACATTTCCATCAGAAACCCTGTCTTCAAACTTTTTGCAGCTTCTGATGGTCATTTGATGTGATTCATGTCAGTTCATTCATTTGTTTCTACATTTGATCTGATATATATCCGACAATTGTGTCTGGTGTCCCCAGCTCTGATATTGCTAGAATATTGCTAAAAGCGGCGCAAAACCATAATCACTCACTCACTCACTCACTCACTCACTCACTCACTCACTCACTCACTCACAGTTGTGTGAATGTGTATACCAGACATCTGGTTGTCAAGTAGATCACCTTAGTCAAAGTACCTTCTTCCAACTTCTGTGACTTCATGGTTCAAGGTCTTTTTGAGAAATCTAAATCATGTACCTTTGTATTATTTCATACGAAATAACCATGATCTAAATGAATCGTATATTCAATTCTCAACAACGTCTTAAGCATGATGGTTAATCCATCTTGAATAGAAATGTATAGATAGTAAATATTCGGGACCCTGTCAACCTGGGAACACTCCTGGGTGATTGTTTCTAGGAATGTCCAGATACATACCAACACATAGAGAATCTCACCCAAGCATCTTTTGATATCAAATATATCAACACGAGTTGATAAAAGTGGAAAAATTCCAGGCTTGCCAAGGATTTTTGCCACTTTTATCAACAAGTGTTGATATATTTGATATCAAAAGACACGAGGATGAGATTTTATTTATCATCCAACATCATTGTTTTTCAATTTGTAGACACTAATTAGCAATGTCTTCAGTGTAAAAAGTACTGCTAACAGCTTCAGTAGCAGAACCATTAGTGATGTCATTTGATTGTGATGTCATGGTAACCGGTGATGTCACAATGGTCTGCAAAGCATTGTGATGTAATTTAATTGCAGCGATATCTACAGTGTAGATATTGCTTGATCTCATCCAAGCGCTATCTCCTGTAGGAGCCAGTTTTGGATGATAAATTGCATTTTGCCACGATTCAGGGACTTTAACTGTAGTTCTATGCAATTGTCTCGTGTCCAAGCTAGAAGGATCATACACACATTTACCATACACATGATCTCATATGAATATATTAACAATGTATGCTTCAGGGATCAGTTCTTGTCATATTACATTGAAGACGAACAGGTATGACATTTGATAGCAGTAAATTTATATTTGCAGCAAGATATTTTTCACTGTGTTATCTTATGAGTAAATATATTTTCCCCCATATGAAAGAAATTTCTCCTTAAAGAAGTTGTAAGATTCACAGGGATTATGATTTGATTCAATGAAACATTACGTTTGTGATTACATATTATGGACTTTACTGCACTGCTTGAGGTTTAATATTTCCTGACTTTAATAAGTCAGTAACGGTCCTTGAGGGAAAGATTACAGACAATATTTGATGTTGAACATGATCTGTATTTTATGATGGAATAAATTTCAAAGCTGTTACTTAATAGCTTCTGGTTATTTGTTCAAAATGGATGTGATTAAAAGGGTGTTTACTGTTCTTTATGGAATTACTTCATTTTTCTTTATTTCAAATTGCTTTAGTCTTGAGGCAGGATTATGATACTTTGCTCATTTTCTGGAGTTTATTTGTAAAGAATTATTTATTTTTTGTGTGAAGGATTCACGTTGCTCCAGAGAAAATTTGTTGCAAATCTGCTTAGTTCAAAGGATCATGGGTAATGAAGATTGTCAGTGAGGGAGCAGAATTGAGTTTTTATTCCTGGATGACAGCTATGCTTCATTATTTTCTTATGTTAGAAAATAGAAAGGGTCTTGGGGGTATATTGGTATGGTATTTGAAGCTAATGATACCTGAATATTTACCTTATAACAATTTGGTTATGAAAAGGACCTCATAAATTTGTATAGCTTTTCAGCTGAGAGTGCGGTTCAGACTCAGCTCAAAGGTCTTGGCTGCTCCCTCACATAATATGCATAATCTATAAACCGAGTACAGCAGACAGCAACTGACTGACATGAAGTCCCAGAAATAAAGTTACCGTATTCGACGTAATAAGTGCCCCGCTCTAATAAGCGCCCAAGGTGATATTTGCTAACATATTGGCTAGTGAACAATCCCAATTAGCACCCCTTCCAATTGATCAATGTACACAAGACTTATTTATTCGCGTATCATACGCACTTGTGTGTTATGTGCACCCTTAATTAAGGGCAATTATACTCTGGAAAAATATATCTCTCGTATATAAACATTACAGGCTGTCAGCATTAACCACGAAATACATCTTTCAACTCTGTTTTTTTTCCCACCAAAAAAAAATATTCTAATAAGAGCCCACTATTTCTAATTTTGAGAGCGCGAATACAGTATATTCAAAAATATGTATCTACAGAATAAAATGTAATATCCAATTGGAGCCCAGAACAATGCTTAACTTCCTAGAGCTGAAGCAATCTAAACTTGCAAAATCATTCTAAACTTGAGTGGAATTTAATTAAACCTTATTCTCTCGGGTCTGGGAGACAGACTACAACTAGGGTCAGTCACACCATTTGGCCACTCTTGAAACTTGGTATGAGTTCCTATGAGTGGCTACCATTAGTTGCCAACCTTCAGTTAAACTGTAAGCACATTTGTTGGAAGATGCAACTCATTTACTGATGCTCTGACATTGTCCTTGTGGTATCTATATCCCAGACAGTGTGTTGTATGCACTTAAATGTCTCATGATCACTGGAGAGCTGATGATAGCCACCTGAACGACCTTGAATGACCTCCAGATGTCCTCAACATGTGAGATGGGTCTTGAAGCTGGGTATCAACTTCTGATGTTGGGTTACATCAAGTCTACTGTAGATTGGGGGGTCATTTCACTCTGATGTTGGGTTAGATCAAGTCTACTGTAGATGGAGGCCATCTCATTCTGATGTTGGATCACATCAAGTCTACTGTAGATGAGGGGTCCATCTCACTCTGATGTTGGATCACATCAAGTCTACTGTAGATGAGGGGGCCATTTCACTCTGATGTTGGATCACATCAAGTCTACTGTAGATGAGGAGGCCATCTCACTCTGATGTTGGACCACATCAAGTCTGCTGTAGATAAGGTGTCTATTTCACCTTGGCAAAACTGACTGTATGCTACACATCTTAGGGAAACAGTGTACAGTGCAGAAAGCTGATGATTGATTTATCAAGGGTTCTGTGTATGTTCAAATAATATAAAGACACATTTGAATAATAAGCCGTCTTGATTTGGTCCTGATGTTGAGATGGATTGCAGACAGGCTGGAATAATCCTGTACAGTTGCTGAGGATGAGATTCATCCTTGAAGTGCACATCTCACTGTCTGTGTGGTTGGCAGATGGTTGGCCAGTTGGTTCTGATTGCTCTAGTTTCGTGCATTTCAAAGAGGATGATGGCATCTTCGCATGCATCACAGATCATGCATCATGTTTACCATGTCAGAAAGCAGTAGTTATTTCTTGTAAGATAATACACACGGATGTCAAACAATTGTCTGAAGTTGAAGAAACGACTTCATGTGTGCATCCAAGACTTCCAGGTGCTGTTGCTGTTTGTTTAAAGAGCAGTTAACAAACTGTGATAATATCTTGATTTTCATAACCTTGAAGTCTCATGCAGGACATGTCCTTGGCCATCTCAAATAACATCAATTTAGTCTTTTCACACATTTCCTGTTAGTTATGACAGATATGTTTTGTCTTAGTTGCTT